TGATCAATGCCAGTTCGGACTGAGACACCCACAGAGCCATGAGCCCATGAAGAAAGCCACCCGAGTGCAAACCACATCACGGGAAATGATTAAGCACCTAGATGGTAGAACATGTCCCAAAGAGCACAGTCACTGTCCAATTGCAGGAAATTGCCAACACCAAGGAAGAACATTTGCCCTGTCAAGGTTTGCAGCATTCTATCCACACACGTTAGCTCGAAAGGCAGCTAGAGGTATATTGTTCGAAACCCAAGATCCAGATTGTCCCATTGTTGAAGCCTCAACCGCAATTGAGCAATTGTGTCCTGTTCGTGATGCAGAAGAGCCTCCAGAAGGTGAGCCTGGATCAAAACGAAAGCGGGGTCAAGGCCCATTGGAAGACCTTGGAACTCGCAAGCGAGAACTTGAGCCATATGAACCATTTACAGTTTTGACTGGACAGCCGTGGACTGAAGTTATGGAAAAGCTTCAGACCCTTTTGCCGAAGTCCGGTGCACAGAACATCGACTTGGAGACTTGGCCAGGCAAACAACATTGCCAGATTCAGGATGTCAAAGAGATCAAAGCCATAAAGGGAGTAGAGAAATTCATGACAGGAAATTTCGCTCATTCGCACAGACAAACCATTAGTCTTTGTCGCAAGAGCCAAAGAATCTTGGATTTGGGGATAGAAGCATGGACAAAGTTGACCCAAGCCCAACAGAGAAGAAAAGCCATCCCGAGTCATATCATGATAACCATCTTTGGGAGAAACCCAGAACTTGATGAGAATCAAGCCAAGTCTGAGTCGTCCCATGCCAGAAAGTCCTTGAGCCAAGAAGAGACAACCTCTTCAACAATTCGTAAAGTAGCAGCCGAAGAGAGATCAGCCGGAGAGCCTAAGCCTGAGGCCCCTGAAGAAGGCACACTAGTTCCCATACCCTCATGGATGCCAGTGACCACCATTAACTCAGGACCAAAATTTCTGGAGCTTAATAGCAAACAGCAGACCATGATTCGTACGATGCACAATAATCTTGGTCACCCTGTTGCTGAACGACTTAGTGAACACTTGAAACGACTGGGATTCACTGAAAGAATGGTTGAAGGAGCCCGCGACTATCACTGTCAGTCATGTGCTGAAAGAGTTCCACCCAAATTGACTACCCCCGGGAAGCTTAAGGAACCACGAGAATTCAATGAAAGAGTGGCACTAGATGGATTTGAATGGAAAGGACAAAAAGGGAACAAGTACTATGTCCTACATTTCTTTGATGAGGCAACCCACTTCCACCTTGGCAGACGCACTCAGAGAAACAGTGAAAGCACGATTCGAACCATGAATGAGACCTGGACACATTGGGCAGGTTCCCCTCAAGAAGTACAGCATGATGAAGCAGGTCAATTTGTAAGCCAACCATGGAAAGATTTCTTGCAACAAGAAGGTATTCGATCCATTGTAAGTGCAGCACCCTGGCAAAGAGGTCGTATAGAAAGGAATGGGGGAGTAATTAAGGAAATGCTTAGTCGCATTGACCAGGAGAAACCAATCCAAAACGAGAAACAGTTCGACCTTGCATTGCACCAATGCTTCCAAGCCAAAAACAGTTTGACCATTGTCCAAGGGTTTAGTCCTGAACAAGCAGTGTTAGGTAAATCACGCCGATTGCCTGCATCGATTTGTGGTGATGAGGACTTCACGGCACATTCGATAGATCAACCACAAGACACAAGATCTGAAGAGTTCTTACAAAAGATGCAAATTCGGACCCTAGCCAGGAAAGCTCTCCTAGATGCTGATAATAGCCAAGCAATCCGCCGAGCAGTGAACCATCAATCCAGAGGACAAGAACATCCATGGAGATGTGGAGAGTTATGCATGGTTTGGGACAAGAGAAAATCACCTAACATGCTGGAAAAAGGGAGATGGACTGGCCCATGCCAAGTCATTATGGAAGAAAGCCGAACAATCCTTTGGGTAACCCACATGAACAGATTGTTGAGAGTAGCCAGAGAAAACATTCGACCGGTCTCAATTAGGGAATTCAATAGAGTGGCCACATTTCATCAGAATTGCGAGGAAACCAAATTAAAAGCAATGGCCGACCAGCTAAAGAACCAGTTGAAGGAAAGAAGTGGAATGTTCCAGTTTTCTGACTTGACCGAACTCGAGATGAATCCAGAAACAACCGAAGGAACTAATGGACCGCAGCCTGAAGAAGAACCTCATCGAAGAGATTCGGAAGCAGACATTCCGTGTATAGAGCCAGTTAGTCCAAATCCCGAACAAGAGCCGACCAGTTCTCCGGTGTCCCAAACACCGTCAATTGCAGAGCGTGCAGCCGAGTCCGAAGAGCCTCGAGGGAGTGATCTTAGGGGTATAGAAGATCCTAATGGGGAAGAAGGTAATTTTGAATCAAGAGGGGATTCAACTAACTTCACATAAGAAGTACACAATGTGAGCATTGTAGAAGCTAATGATCCAAACGCAGTCACAGCGAAAGATAATGGAGCATTGTGGCCGTGCAGTGAAGACATCACAATGCAAGATGCCAATTTTTGCATGTTTGAGTTCGATGTCCCATCCAAGTTTCTGTCCGCATTTTGCGTCCAACCATGCCTACATGTCGACAATTTAGTTCAAGCTGCAAAGAAAAATCGTGTTGAGGTAGTATACAAGCATTTAAGCCCAGCAGAGAAAATTGAATTCGAACAAGCCAAAGCCAAAGAGTTAGATTGTTGGGTTAAGACATCATCCATAGAGCCACTACTGAGAGACAAGATCCATCCCTCCAGGATAATGTCCTCAAGATGGATTCTGACATGGAAGATAGATCCAACTTCACCACAGGGAAGAAAGGCAAAAGCCCGGTTAGTTGTCAGAGGTTTTGAGGACCCCGATGCAGCTTCTGTGAGCACTGAATCACCGACTCTCTCCCGGGATGGTCGGATGATAATACTTCAAGAAATAAGCAGTAGAGGGTGGGAATTGCAGAGTTTCGACATCAAAACTGCATTCTTGAGGGGGCGTTCAGATGAAAGGGTCCTTGCCATGCAACCGGTACCAGAACTACAAAAGCTGCTCCGCTTGAAACCAAACGAGGTTTGTCTCCTAAAGGGAAATGCCTACGGCAGGGTGGATGCACCCCTTTTGTTCTACAAAGAGCTTAGGAAGAATCTAGAGGAAGCAGGTTTTCAAGCACATCCACTTGACGCATGCATGTTTTTGCTTCGCAATCCCAAAGATCCAAGCAAATTAGAAGGAATTTTGGGCACACATGTTGATGACGGAATTGGAGGTGGAACTGAAATGTTTGAAAAAGCACTAGAACAAATCCAGAAGAAGCTTCCATTTGGACAAAGGGAATACAAGAAATTTCGATTCACAGGGCTTGATATTGAACAACATCCAGACAACTCAATACAAATCAGCCAAGCAGAATACATCCACAAGATAGATCCTATAGATGTGCCAAAACCCAGACGAAAAGATGAACATGCAGAGATAACATCATCCGAATTGCACCATCTACGTGGTCTATGTGGAAGCTTGCAATATGCCGCAGTGCCTTCAAGGCCAGATCTTGCAGCCAAAGTGGCATTCCTTCAGAAACGAATCCCCAAAGCAAAGGTGAGTGATTTGATGCAAGGAAATAAGATATTAAGAGAAGCCAAGAATACAGCTGAAACCTCTATTCGAATACAACCAATCCCAATAGATCAAGTCACTTTTGCAAGTTTTGGTGATGCCAGTTTCGCTTCAGAAAGCCAATTGAAGGCTCAGCAAGGCCTATTCGTCATGGCCACGACCAAACGACTTGGACAAAACGAAACATCAGAGTTCTCTCCACTGGCTTGGGGTTCAAAACAAATTGCAAGGGTTGTTCGGTCAACATTGAGTGCAGAAGCCTATGCAATGTCAAGTTCACTTGACAAGCTCACTTGGATTAGATGCTTATGGGGTTTTGTCAATGATCCTCAGTTCCAATGGCAGAAGCCGGAGAAAGCATTACAATCCCAACCAAAAGCTCTCCTTGTGACAGATTGCAAGTCATTGTTTGACTTAGTAACAAAATTAGCAATACCCAACTGCCAGGAATGGAGGACCACGATAGAGGTCATGCAGATCAAAGAGCAAGCTGAGGGGAATGCTCAGTGTCGTTGGATTTCGACTGCAATAATGCTAGCCGATTGTCTAACTAAACCAATGGATTCAAGTTTCTTGAGAAAGGTCCTGGCCATCGGACGGTTCCGAATTTTTGACGAGACCCGAACTTTGAAGATAAATGCAAATAGGAAATTCGGCGAAAGATGGGCAGAAGGATTCAGGAATGAAGCAACCGATTCATATTGAAAAGAAAAACAGAACGTGTGTGAATTGGATCCTAAGGAAACCTTCTCATGAATCGGCAGTTCGAATCGACACCAGCATCCGAAGCAGTTCGAACTACGCCATCAAATGATGGCTCAAGGTGACGAGGCAAGAGGACTTAGCAGGACATAGGAAAAAAGGGGCGCGGACGCTCGGAAGGGGACTTCCCGGTAGGTTTTGGTAGGAGTTTGTTAGGTAGAGGGCTACCAGTGTGGTTCCAACTGGAATCACATATATATATATATATAATATATTATATATGGGGGGCATGACATGTTCATCTCCCACCAACACTACACTATACTGCAGTATACCGTATACCACCATAATTTTTGACTCATCGTTGTTGCTTGTGCTCGCTAGCGCATACCTAAAGGTGGACCCGGCAATCTCAGCCACGAGGACCAGTCCAATTTATCTACATCGCAACAAAACATCTTGCTGGAAAGCTGTTGGTTTGAGGGAAGCAACATCAAGCCATATACATAAGAGAAATGAATGTTCAGCAACAATGTGCACAGTCAAATTGCATAGTGTGTGGGTATGTTTTGAACATTTCACAACCAAGCCGAAAGTCTTCCTGTCGCATGGCCCATGGCCACCCTGGCTTCCTTTTCTCCCCATGGCCCCCCGGCCCCAATCCTCTCGCCTTAGAGTAGCGAGCTTCTGGGCCCTGGCTGATGGCAGGAAGCGAGGACGAAGAAGAAGAAGCGTCCGTGGCGGCCTCCTGGACGTGACCATCGGCCAAAAAGGATTCACCATGAAGTTATGAAGTTGGGGTGAAGTCGGAGATTCTCTTAGATGAGGGCTTGGAGACTCACAGTGGATACTGGGCAACATCTTCGACACTTGGGATTTGTGCAAACTTCTGAAAGGATTTGCAGGTTCAGTTTGGCTTTTGCTCGGGTGCATACAAAATCCTTGGGATTGTAGAACTGGCTACTGCTCTACGATGTGCACCCTGCAGCAACACATGTGGCATCTATCAGTCTTCATCTTGCTTCATTGCTTCCTGTATCCAGCGGCCCTCAGGCCAAGATGACAGCAATCACTGGCAACATGGAAACCGCTAATATTCTTCGTTTGATTCTATACATGGGGGGGAGCCAGCACGTTGCGCACCAACCAATGCTCCATGGTATCTTTGCCCGGATTTTGCATGCAATCTCTGGATTGCTATTGCTAGGTGCAGCCATCCTAGGAGCTCCAAGCAACCAGAAAAGTCTCCAACCGTCCAATTTGCTGCACATCTGCCTCTCGCAATGAAAGGGTTTTCCTCGCACCATGAGAGGTTTTATGTCCCAGGTGTGTGCCCACTCGACTAAACCCCACCGTATCGTCCCCAGCAGTGGATTGAGAAATTGGACACCATAAATATTCTTGGGCCTCTGCAGGGGAGCCACATGCTAGCTTGTTCCCCAACAGCTGCAACCCATTCCAAAGCCCTTTTAAGGACGAATCTTGGGGGCAAATCCAAACCCAGCTCCACGAATTCGGAAGTCCATGCACTACTGTTCTGTGATGGTCAAACTAGAACCCGACAGATGATATGTGGGTCATATACACACACAGCAGGACAAGTGGTAGACCCTCAGACCTTCAATCCAAGAGTCAGGAGGTCTTACCCACACAACACTCTGAAGATCTTCCCCGGCCTTGTCTTCAGTGCTCAGGTGCTGCTCTGCCTTTTGCTGTTGATCGCTGGCATCCTGAAGTGAAGCTTGGAGAAACATCACATGTCTCGCTCAAAGAACAGGTCTGAGCTTTTTGCACAGGTCTGACGGTCTGAGGTTCCGTCAGACGGTCTAAGCTTCAAAAGTACAGCTCTCTTCAATGGTGAGGCACCAAGTCAAGAGGCCAAGAGGCCAGGGGAAAGGAATCGTTCAGCACTAGCCAAGCACCGAAGCGTAAAAAGAGAGCTCATCCACTGTCCCACAACTGTCTCGAACGCACTACCAGTGGTACTCTTCTTCAAACAGGACTGGCCCTGCTCATGTCGTTCCACTCAGATTCCTTAGGCATTGCTTCGTCTGCTTCGATAAGACTGTAAGCTTTGCTCGGGGCAGCAAAAATGGACGCCAGTCTGCTCTGCCTGCTCTGCCATCAACAAGCCGAAATCACAGCTTCAGGTTTGCCAAAAAAAGACTGGCAACCGGCGGCCCAGTTTTCAAGCCAGTGTCCTTCTTCCCTCTTCTTCCCCCCCAAACCAAGGTTGCAACCTTAAAGCTTTGTGTCGCTCAATATGGGTGGGTCAAGAGCTCAACCTCAAAAGCACAGCATATTCCTTAGAAGCCTTGTCTCTTCTCTTCGTCTATTCTGTTCAACTGGTCGGTCTCGCGGTGTGACTCGCCATCAATAAAACTCCAAGGTCTCCACGGAGAAGTCTCCCGGAACCCATCGCCGGCTCGGCGCCTCGCTGCAGAGCTCCTCCAACTGCAGCGCCTCGCCACTGATGTGCCACCACGCCGTAGAGCCTGGTGACCCGCCGTCGTTGCGCATGGGGAAGCGGGTGGTGTCAATGCAGTCGGCGATGTGGTGGGAAGCTGAGAGGTTGTAACCACCACCTGATGACCATTTGGAAGTGATTTGGAAGGTCAAGGGCCCATCAAGCCTTGGATCATCTGATTCCATTGACAAGTATCAGAAATATGTCTGCCGAGGAGGGGCTTTCAGCAGATCCACAACTAGAAATACCTGAAGCCGTGAAAATACCTGAAGCCATACCAAGAAACTTTCCCAAACGAATGCAAGACTTCGGCACAAAGGCATCACTTGAACTACTGGCGGTCTTACCCAGCGTCCAGGCCAATGTGATGTGAGGTCTTGGCCATCCACCCAAGCGGAGCTGCCAACCAATAGCTACTGTACACAAGGAATTCCGCACCTCGAAACCATCCAACTGATGGACTTGACGTAAACCATGCAGCCTCACGCCCAGAAAAAACCACTGGCATTGTTGTGGGAGACCTTGGGATGTAGTCCTCCCGTGTGAGCCAGTGGACCCGGACCAGTCGGCTTCGCGTGAAGCACAAGATACATCCCCAATCTCGGAGAAACACCACACCTGCACTGCAGCCACGCACTTGGTCATGATAACACCAACGATCACAGCTTCCAATCAGCTCCCTATAACGGCCAAAGACTCGGCCAGTGGCCAGAAGGGCCAGCTTTTGCACTCCTGGCACACGCCAATCTGTTGAGTTCAGCGTGCAATGGATCTCCACTGTGTGGCTTTCACAGTGCTGCGATGGTGGATCCTTCGTCGTTTTCCCACTGGCTGGAGCATCCACAATGAACAAGAAATGAAAGAGCTCTGAACTCAAAGCATCCAGATGTTGGTCCCCCCTCTTGATGTTCAGAGCTGAGCACCTCGATCTCCAAAGGTATAGGTCTGCAATAGGCAGAGACTGAAGCCTCCTCACTAAGCCCACAAAGGCACCACACGCCACAGATTTGTTCACACTCCTCCTCCCTCATATGCACAGGCTCGCGGAGCTCCAGGAAAGGGCCAGCGGGAGTCAAGCTACAAGGCCGATTAGGAGATGACGACATGGCGCCCAATCGCAGAAGAGAGAAGAAAACACAAAAAATTGGCACATTGCTCTGCTGGATGAAAAAAGAACGAACAACCAACTATCCTGGCTCGCGGCCAGTATGGTAGAAAGCAATTAGACATCTCTCAAGGCTGGGGGCTTCATCTTCCGCAAAAAAGGCAACATCTCTGAGTGGTTTGCCACTGTGCAACTGGTTGAACCACTCGCAGTGGTTTGCCGGATCCGTGGCCAATCTTTTCTCAGTCGACAGAGATCAACATTCTGTACCGAACCTGTTCATTCAGTTCAAACTAAAGAATATATCTGCTGCCCCGACCTGGGCAGGTTTCGACAAGAAAATCACGCTTGTTCAGTGCCACTGGTATTTCATCGTTTGTTGCATGGATAGCATGTACTCTTTAAAACATGGGACAGGAGACTTCCACGTCACTCACAGCTTGGCGACTTCCAGTCAAACTACCAGGTGGAACTGATCTCATGTGCAGTAGATATAGTAGATGTACTACCAGGGTGAACTTACCTTTCAAGCCTTCTTGCACATTGTTTGCGCTGAAGGAGGCTTCATGTGATTCTGACAGGTGGAATCTCCACTCGGTAGAAACCGCCCATGGTCAAGAGGCGAAGCTGGCGTGAAGCTGGCCGCCTTTCCGATGACGCCAGCAGACTGTATGATTGGAACAACAGCCAATTTTAATTGAAAGTGCGCTAGGCTACTTGTCCATGGATGTCAAGGTCTTCCAAGAGCTTCTGGAGTCGCACCCGGGTCGTTTTGAGGGTTCTCTTCTATGAGCTTAGTAGAGCATTCAAGCGATAGACGAGATCTGTGGCCTTGATAGTGAGCACATGCCCATGGCCCAACCAAAAGATCTTCTCAAGATCACTGAAGCGAGCTAGGCTAGGGTTAATCCAGGAATAGCTTTCAGTGAGACAACCAGCAACTTATGTGGATTCTGCCCATTCCATTGCAATCCCAGTGTCATGACCATCCGCCGAATACCAGCAAGTCGGACCCAACCAAGTTCACCTATTCATAGGAGAAAGGTGTTCATCACAAGAACCTCTGATGTGGCACAGTTACGTGGGTTTATTGCACCACCCCACGAGCTCCCACGGCTCCTTGGCTATCTCTATCTGCTTCACCTGCTCAGCATGTTCATCTTCCGCGTGCCCAGCGTGCTCCGTGCTTTTGAGGGCACGAAGCTGAGTCGCAGCCAGAGCGCAAGCATCATCTCCAATAAGGCACTCCTCAGCTTGAAGTGCAGTGCTGACTCTCGAATCTCCACGGTTGGCAGATTCTGCCACATTTGTGGCGAGCTGCATGGCGACAAACACTGACGACACAATGCTACATATACATGACCCCTTGCGCCAGGCACCGCTGACCCCTTGCCGCGCACCACGCGCACCAAGTCGCATCGTCCGCAGCGATGATGCCGGCGGCAACACTCAAAGTTGCTGAGCAAAGAGCGGTGCACAGGATGAGCAAATCATGTCGAAGCAACATCGCTTTAATAAGCAAAATGAAGAATGAAAAATCTTGGCGAATCTGTTAGCCTCACAAATTCCATATAGAGTGATGCCCAAAGAGTTAATGGAACAGTTCTGCAAAGTGCATTAAAGGATATCAAAGCACATGACAATTTTCTGGCCATGGACCTTCGTGCAAGGACTCTGCCATGCTTGTGAAGCAGTCCTTTTTCTGTTCATCGGCACGGAAAGCTGCAAGATTGTTTACGAACACATTTCGCCGACGCAAATCCAATCCTAGGAGTTGTTGATTCAAAATCATTGCAGTCCGAGTCCCCCAAAGGCACGAATAGAATCTACATTATATAACATTGTACATGCTTATATATACAACATCAAATCTTGGGTGCCTGTTGCTCCTGGAGGGTGAGCCAGTATGACAATATGGAATGTGGAACTATGAGTTGTCAAAGATTGGACGAAACTGGAACGAAACTGGATGTTACTTCTAGTAACGTCGACTCAGTCTGGACGCATTCTCCGAGCGGCTGTTCCAGTTCTCTCAGCGGCTGTTCTCTCTAGCAAGTTTGGGCTGCCAACAATTTGACAAGTTTTGGTACTAGTCACTGTCGGGAAAGCAAACACCACTCGCTACAGGTGAAGATCCGCATCTCCATCCGAATCCAAATGGTACAACTGGACCGGGATGATGTCACACGCTTGCTTGGGGCTTAGGAGATTGGTTCATGAAATCAAGACTTTTTAGCATAGACGTAAGTAGGCCAAACAAGGGGGATGGCCGAGCCCGGTCAACTCTGGCTCTTGTCAAACTTCTCTTTCCAGAAAGGGCTTCGGTGCAATGACGGTCTTCCCTCACACACACGCACACACAAGAATAAAACCCTCAGTCAAAGCCCTCCACTTCGCCTTGGTTGAGAAATCACCCCGTGTCTTCTGGCAAAGAGTTGCTTTGATAGACTCGATAGACAACTCACACTTCAGGGGTGAGGGAATCACCCCTGGGCCCATCACCTCCAGCAGCATGGCGAAACTGCTTGTCTTTCTCGCCTCAAATGCCAGGTATGGCATCCCAAGCTGCTTGCTGAGCTTTGCGAGAAGCTTTGATCTCTCTAGGCATCCTCTTTGAAGGGCTTCCAGAGACATTTGATCTCGGGCTTGATGCAACGGATCCACTCCCGACACTTTGGGTAGGGCGGGTGAAGCCGCTGAAGCTGTGATCTCCGACAGTTCGACCGTAGATGTCACACCATCCAGAACCTTCCACATAGAACAAATCCGACTCTTCAAAACCAGCAGGCTTGGGAGGCGGTGGCACAGGTGCCTGTGGCACCTCAGCTCCCTCCTTCAACAACCCCTTGGCCCTCAATGCAGCGATCCGTGTGGCCTCTGCTGGAGTAAGTTTGCTGGAGACGTGCTCATAGCTAGCCTCCAAGGCCCCAGATGGCTCTTCACGGCTACGAGCCGGAAGATCAAACTGCACGACTTGTCGAACTGTCACCTCTGGCCCTGCCATCTCCAGCTCCGGAGCGATCGGCGCCACGGGGGCACTCGGAGCCTTTGCAAATGCCTCTCGAAACTCCTCCGGAGTCGGAGTGGGTGGCCGTTCGTCCCCCTCCTCCAGCGCTCCACGCACGTGGCCATCCGGCAGCGCGGCGCTGTGCTCAGAGCGCGGCGTTCCGGGCGTGTCGGGAGTGTCGCCGGCCGCGGCCGCTCCCAGACGGAGACCCCCACGCAGAGCAGCCGCGCTGGGGGCTTCACCCAAGTACTCGGCCAAGACAGCAGGGACCTTGGTGGAGCTGAACGTAAGCCTGAAGAGCAAGACCCAACAGTTCAGTGTACAATCCAGTTGGCAACAAGTCAACAGGTAGAACATGTTTCAGCTCTGAATGAGCCCATCGGACCATGTCTAGAGTAGAAACCAATGCTTACCCCTCAGCACCCTCATTCGCATCCTGCTTGTTTCACTCATGAGAAGCACAAATTTGTGTGAGAAAGCAAGGAGTGGAACGACCAGAAAGCCCAAAAGCTGAATAGTCGATCAGGATTGATCAGGGCATTGTAGACATTGTAGGCACCCATATTATAGACACTTAAAACAAAAATAAAGTGGTCACCACCATGTCACCACATCAAGTTGGACACCCCTCTTCTCCTCCGCATCTCCCATCTGCATCTGCACTGCTTCTGGCTTCACTCGTGCCTCTCGCGCCCGTGCCTGCTGTGCCTCCCGGGCCTGCTGCGCACAGCGCTGGAGTTCTTCCTCCGAGGCCTCCTCTGGCGCCAGCAGCAGCTCCACGAGCAGCGGAGGTGTTGGGCCGTCAATGTGCACAGAGAAGGTCCCCCCGACGACTCGAGACGCCGCAGCTTGGGCGCGCAGTCGAAAGGCTAAGGTCTCACCAGGCGGCAGGACGGTGCTTTCTTGATGGCAGCCCAGCTCCAAGAGGAAGGGATGATCCAGATCGATCTGCAAAACCAAATCGCCTCCGTTGCCAAGCGGCGAAACTGGTGGCTGCTCGGTTTTTGTCAGGTCAATGCTCCTTGTCCGAAACCCTCGGTCTCGTCCGCCCACCCCACTTAATCCAAGGCAGCCAAGGCACCTTTGGAGATGTTCCGCAGCAGCAAATTGCGCGTGCTGCCAGGTGTAAAGCGCAAGCGTCTTGGCACCGCATCCAAAAGGTGTTGCGCCATGGCCGAGGCGCTGGTTCCAGGACAGCGTCTCACTTTGGTGAGCTCTGAAGCTGATTCTGTGTCCCAAGTGAGTTTAAGTCTTTTGAGTCTGGGTGAACCTGGTTGGTTGTTTAGGTCCATTTCCCTCGATGGTCGGAAGAACTCACTACGATCTAGCTGTATGGAAGGATACGTTGAACAACTTTGGCGGTCATCACATCGCACTGTCGCACCTATACAGAAATGAAGTACAAACATGAAGGACCTACATTTAAAAATACTTGTTATACACATACATACATACATACATACATATATTCACATTGATTCAATGGCTTCTATGCCTTCTCTTGGAAGGATCTATCTTGAAACTAGAACACATTCACATGTATGATCGATCCTCCGAGTGTCCATAAGTTGTGCTTCTGATCTCGGCCCAAGAGCCCTGGACCCTTTGTTAACATGGGCTTTATTGCCTTTTCATCTATATATGTCTCCTCTTGAGACACACCCAATCTGGGCTGCTGCAGCCAGAAGTGGCACAAGTCAATGCCAGCAGCATCCCCTTCCGATCAAAAGGCAACCGCTGGGAGCACGTACCACTTGAGGGGTGTAACCCACCCCAGAGGTCCCCTGAGTCTGACGGAGAAGCGATGAAATCCCAACCTTGCTGCGTTCTAGTCCACGAAGGATCCCTTTGCCGACTTCAGAACCACCCCAGTCCGACTTACCGAATCATACACTCTCATCTCATGGTCAGTCCGATATCAAGATCTCTTCACTGCTCTTTTGGTTTCACTGCTCCCAGTTCGGATCGCAAAAAAAAACTGAAGCCATTTCAACTTCCATTTCAGGATCCCTTTGATATTGTATGATATTGCTTAGGGATTTTCACCTCCAGGGGTGGGCCCTCCGATCTCTTTGCCTCTTTGCCTCTGATGCCTCCGATTCCGCGCGGCCTCACCACCGCAGAGGATCGCTGCGCAGAGGATCCAACCGGGCGAAGGAAGATTCGCCGCCCTCGTGCACGTCTGAAGGCTGGCAGGCTCTTCTCCCTGCCACTTCAGACGGAAGACCTCATGGCCCCGACCAAGAAGGACGGAGCATTTACTGAGGCGAAAAAGCCGCGACTTGGGCAGATGAGCCGAAACCTCCTCTCGCAGCCCGGCTTGTTCCCAGAAAGTGCCTAAGTCGGTCGTCACTAGCTCCACCGAGATGTGAAGGATTCACTACCAGGAACATCTGGTGCTCCGGCACCAGATGTTTCTTTGGCTCAGCCCTCTAAGCCCATCTGCCCGCAAAAAATGATATGCGCAAAAATGATCTGCGCAACTCCTCGCTGAATGCAGGTCAAAGGTCTAACAAAATGGCAAACTACTACTGATTCATGGCCTCGAGTGGACTAGACTGGTCAAACTAAAGATGTGGTGAACACTGTTGCTCTTCACTGGCCTAGGGTGTTCTGGCCATACCCCTGTGGCCTCCAACGCCCTTTTTCACCATGAGTATGATACATCGCCAAACCCAGGACTTCAGACACACTAAGGACATAGCAAGTCTTTGAGGCTTGGGTGGGTCCATCATTGAGTTATCATGAGTTTTCAAACATTTGATAGGTACTGTACCGCCCTCCTCCAAAATGTGCCAACGTGTCCCAAGGTCTTCCATTCCTGAAAGCTTTTGTGGCATATCAGTGTTGGTACGAATCAGCTCTTTCTTCTGGGAATTTCGGTAAATGCTGGAGACTGGGTTGCTTCTTCTGCATCCGTTGCGTGCAAGAGTCGCCATGCAAAAAATGGCCGTTCGTTCAGTAGTTTCTGAACGGATGCCGATGGTCGAACTAAACTGTCGACGATCAGCAAATGCATTTGAGCATTGAGTTTGACCTCAATCTCCTGTCCAGAAAAAGGATCGCTGGAGCGCAGCTCCGGCCTCCACAGATTCTTGATTTAAAATTTAGATGGTGTCTTCCGAAAAAACTAAAAATCATGGTCTTGAGGAAGAAACAAACCATTGCCAAACAAAGACAACAAGCAGAAAGCCACAACATCAAAGGAACCGATATACCAACCAATCAGTCCACTTCTTTGACCTAAGAATCCGCTAGAACAACGAGGCAGCTCAAACATGCTCAAAGTGATGCAACTTGTTGTGGCACATGATTCGTTTTGTTTGGGCAGCTGTTGTACTATGTGCAGCGGAGTTCGTCTGCGGGCCACTTGGCGAGTCTGCAATACGTCCGCAATCGTAGGTATATGCCCACTGGAAAGACTTTCCAGCTGGGCCGTTTCCAAAGGTAGCTTCCAATTTCTGGGACAGGACAAGCATTCTCAAGCTCCTCAGCTCGAAAATTCCGCACAAAGAACACCTGGATGCCAAAGAGTGCCAAAGGAAAACCACGAACCGACCTGATCCTCTTTGCTTTTGGACCCCTTTGTTGGACCCCCTTTGTTGGACCCCTGAAGGAGTCAAGCCTCTAATGGCTCTAATTGGTTTCCTGTTCACAAGGCGGCGAGTGTTTCACATGGACACGAGATCGGCCTAGATCCGACGTGACCCACGGTCGGTGCTGCGCACCCAGAACATGCACGGTCGGCAAATGACCGCTCGGGGTCGTTGGGATGCCAGATTCCATGAAACGCCATCGAGTCGAAGAAACGTCATCATTGCCGAGTTTTGATTTTGATGGACCAAGATTGGGAACACATCCCCGAACTTTCTTTTTGCGGGTAATTGTTTGACCACCGTGCAGCATAGATGCTGGGTCTCGGTCCACAGATACGGCCGTCTTGGGGGCATTCCCCGACTGGAGTTGGTCTCTTGTTTTCTCTCTTCACCAACTGTTTCGATGGATAGGACGTGGACCTCTGTCTTTGATGTTCATCTATTTAGCATCCAGACGAGACCAATTAGAGCACACGCAGTCGCGTGTGTCGCCAAGAACTGGCCGAAACCTGCCGGAAGGGCGGGCGTCGTGGGGGCCAAGGGGGGTGTTGATGTCTGGGGATTCTTTCCTGGTTGGTGGTTTCATGGATTGGTTCAATCACACCAACTAAAGGTTAAGTTAAACATATAAACATCTGAAACCCCCACCCACTTTCCCATTTCGGAAGGGTCAGTGTGACCTTGCCAGGTTTTGTAGAGTCTGTAGAGCATCAAAAACCCAATGCAGTTTGGAACCACAATGCAATTTTTTCCTGGACACGATCAAAAGAACCGTCAGACCCTTTTCAAACAATGATCCTTGCTAAGCACCCTCCACCAAAACGAATGAGAAAGTCTTGGAGAGCTTTGGGATGGTTTGGATCTGTCCTGCATTCCGCACACCACGCGCACACCACGGAGTTGTTCACCGCCCGGTCTCACCAGTCTATGTGTCGACAGCTAGTTTTGGCGAATTAGCCTGTACAACAGCTAATCGAGAAACATTAGGCAAACGACCAACATTCAAAAATAATTTGATCGACACTTGTGCCGCTTGACACGGATTGCTTCAGCCCAAACATGACACAGTGTGTAAGCGAGATGCGAAGCTAGGAACCCATGCGTTTCTTCGTTTCTAAGTGCGACAATCGTTTCTTCTCAATCCGTTTCGGCCCGCCTGAAATGAATGTCAGCATCTCGCCACCTCGCAACATTACTGTCAATCTTTGTGAAGACTTATCAGTGACTTATCCCCCCTATTCATATCGGTTCATCCCCTTGCTCCGCTCGCAGAAAGCCGTGGAAGGATGTTTTTTTTTGGGCTCGCAATTCACCAGCGGCTGCAGCACTTTTGGCAGCCAAAGCACAAACTTGTTCATGGTCCCAACAATCGGAACTGAAGGTCAAGCCAACGTCCTGTGTGCTGACAAAGCCGCTGCCAGTCACGAATGGTGCAGGACTGGGAGCTACCCCAGCTCGAAAGATTGCCCCTGACAGCTGTGTAGAGTCAAAGAAGATCAAGGTATCGATCACAGCCGGAGGAGCGTTCAAAACGCCTGCTGACAGAAAGTTAAAAGCAAGAACCTCGCAGTTCGAACCATGAGTCCAAGTGTTTGTAAGCGGACTGCCAATGTACTCGCCAATGCTAAGACCAACGGTGTTCGAACGCACTTCAACCGAGGTCGCTGGTGTGATCCCACCGCATGAGAGTCCACGGATGATACCGCTAACCACTCCTCCACCATTCAATGCGTTCCTCAGAGTGGCGGCTTCTTGGCCAAGAAACAAAAACAACATGGGCCCAAAGCCTGCTGCAGTGCGCTGGGTCCCTGGGTGGAAAGGAACCTACAGTTCCTCACAAGCGCAAAAACAAGTAAGCAAACCAAAACGAGTGCCCGTCAGTAGGTGAACTGAAGTGGAGGCGGCGTTGGCGCTTCACCTACAGGCAGTTGAGAATTAGTTGTGGTTGAGGCGCTGGCAGTTGTGGCGGTACATGCTGGACATGTGGTCCAAGCAAGTCTTTGGGGACGTTACCCGTGCGCAATGGTCCTTGCCAATTGGAGTTCGGTCTTGGCTGGGCTTTCCTTTTACGGGAGCTGGAGGTCTTGGAAGCGGCAGTTACCGTGTTCCTGGTGGTTGCCAACGAGACAAAACATCACCTTGCACAGCGCCTGGCTGAAAGTTAGAAGGCGTGGGCATGGCTGCAATTGGCAGATCGGGAACAATATTGCGCTGTTGGAGGGACAGGCGCCGAAGGCGCTGGAGGCGGTCCGGTCTGTAAACAGACACACTCGGCTTTCCTTTTACGGGATTCCTTGCGGAACAGGCCATTCGTCCGATCAAGCTGCAAAACGATCATTGTTGCCACTTTCTTCTTTCTTCCACTGTAGGCGTGGTCCTGCATCTTATAGCTGCTGGCTTCTTCTTTTCCTGGTGGCTAAACTTGAACTGTATCTTCTCAAAACGACGGATCTCATCATTGGCTATGCCAACTCCAGCGTTTGCAAACTTTGGGTGACGTGTCGCCATGCGTCGCTCAACATTCAAAAACTGAAATTCACCAACGATCTTCTGCGGTTGTCCTCTGGTCGCGCTGA